GGTATTTTGAGTGGCTGTGCTATAACAGACTTTCCTTAAACGTCCAAAAAACAGTTTATATGATATTTAAACAGACAGGAAAAACAGCTTGTAACCTAAATATAAAAATAAATGAAGTTGCATTCAAAAGAGTGAGTGAATATAACTACCTAAGGCTAACAATCTCTGAAAATCTAACTTGGGATAAACATATTGAGACTGTAATTGACAAAACTGTACAATTGCTAGATGCAATGAAAAGATTTTCGCATCAACTCAACCAAAAAATAAGACAGCTCCTTTATAATAGCTTCGTAGAGCCACGCCAGAAATACTTGTTAACATGCTGGCGAAACACCAGCATTGCACAGCTAAATAAATTACAAGGGCTACAAAATAAAGCACTTAAAGTAATATTTGGGATAAACTTTAATACGTGAACTTAAGATACTAGAACAAACAAAATTAATTTACTTAATTAAAAACAAACTGATTAAAACAAATGTGAAACTGACTGGAAAGGGACAGTGTTACAGCTACGACACAAAAAACAATGATAAGTTAAGAAACGTATACGCATGGACGAAAAAGAAACAAGACTGGCCAATATACAGAAGCATTTAAGTGTTTAATGGAATACCACAAATTGTATTAAAGGGCACTACCAAGAAAATGTGTCATAATTTTACTATAATATTATATATATTGTTATCTGTTTAGAGGTCTGAAAAAAATTGTTATTAAAAGAAACTATATATATATATATATATATATATATATATATATATATATATATATATATATATATATATATATATATATATATATATATATATATATATATATATATATATATATATATATATATATATATATATATATCCAATATACCAATTTTTTTTTGCTATCACAATTGCACGATTGATAGCCCAGAAAAAGGCATTAAACAGAAAAGATTTGAATTTGTTTCTGTCTGAAAACATTATTCACTCTAACTATAGCCGTTAATATGGGAAATGTTTTAAAAACATTGAAATAATAATTTGATGGTTGGTTTTTTTTTTCTTTCCAATTGCTGGAATGAAGAACGTTGAAACTTTTAAGGATTTCGACCACGATCACTAACCAAGGGAACAAATTTGATTAGATAAATCTATAAAAAAAAAGTTAACCAAAAAGAGTTCGTTAATTCGGTTCATAAAGTTTAGTAAAAAATGTTCCTCTTAAAATGGTTGTTTCATCTGACATCAAAACAATAAAGAAATATCAAAATATTTAAATATGTATTTGGCTATTACAGCACAATCTTTTTCGACGCATTAAGGTATAAACAAACTTTGACCTTTCTGTTTGTTTTAGTTGTTTTTCATATTTCTATTTAAAAAGTTATAGTTATAGTTCTATAGTTATAAGTTATAGTTTTTTTTTTAACCTATAGACTTTAATTATTTATTTTTCTTATTAGGTATTATCAATCAATATGAAATATGAATTCCAAAGTTTCCACGCATTAATGGACAACCTGTATTGTTAGCAATAGGTTTTATTCATATATCTGGAGTTTATATCTTTAAAAGAAGTGGTATCGTGTCTTTGCTATTTAAAAAATATCTACTATTGCCAACAAGTGACCTCGAATATCTCAAAAAGTAAATAAAATTTAAATATAAGGTAAATTACAAACTTGCCTTGTTTTTTGTCCTAGAATTGATATCTGATATTTGAAAAGGTTGAGATTTTGTTAATTAAATTCGTCAAAACGGCACCACCTCTTTGGGACGCCCTGTAAAATTTGAGGCGAATCTGTTAAATTGATTGAATAGTGCATCATCTGCTTAGTCTGTGGTTAAATTTTCGTTGCAATACCTGGATCAGTAGCGTCACAACACAATTTTATATGGGACAAGCAACATATGAAAAAATAAACACGTAACTTCAATTTCTGCCTAAACTATGAAAAATTCGAATAGGGATTTTTTAAGAAAGTGACCTTTATTTTAACCAAGGAATCTAAAAATGTGGAAATATACAGGATATTCCATTTAAAATAACAAAGTTGATATCGCGGACACCCTGTATCAACAACAAAATTACAATATTTGAAATCTTCAGGACAGTCCAACAAACTTTTGTACGAAACTTTTTTTCGTATCACCTATTGTGGGTCGTTTTATTTGGCACACGGCGTACATAAATAAACATAAAATAATAATTAATCTCTATCCTTTTAATACACCTTAAAAGACGGTCCTTGATGCCCATGTCCTACAATATTGACTGGTCGGGGGTCAAGATGTTACTTTCAAACAAAGTATAACATATCTCGATTGAAAGATACCCGATGTAGCCATCGAACAACACCAGATGGAACGAACAGTGCTTTTGTGTTTCCAAGGGCATGGGGTCTTCAGACCAGTATATTTCGGCAGTGGCTACGGGTCGGGCGGATCCATATAATCCTATAATATCCGTTCCCGATGTTTTCGCAGGTAGTAAAACGTTTTCTGTTTATTGATCTTTTTCACCAACTTAAACATGCCATGTTCCAATTTCCGACGATATCGTTCGAAAGATTTCGACGTTCTATTTCCATCCGTTTCGAAAATACAACCTCGGAAGTGCCAGAAATCGCCCGTTAAACTTCTTTTTCCGAAACGAATCGCTTTCGCTCGTTGTTTTTTTAAATCCGACCTTTTCATCGCCGCCGATAGGTAGTGTTTTGTTCGAAAATCTGTTTTTCTATCTCGAGCGGCCGAAATATATCTGTCAGCGTGACGTCTGACTTTTTTTTACATTTCGTGCCAATAAAACTTTTCCGATCCATGCGTCCGATCGGTTATCGAAAAGGACCCGTCAATTTTTATACCTCTCAAGATTAATTTGGATCTTCGAATCTGACCAGACTTCCTGTTTCCGTACGTGCTCATTATTGATAAGAAAACGGCACGTAATCGTACTTGTCATCTTTGTGATTTCGATAAGGTTTCATGTCAACTGGAAAACTTAACAAGATCCCCTTCTTGGTGGTTTTATAGAATGAATGGGAGCAGTTTTTTTACTTTTAGTTCAACTACGCAGCTGACGTTTCTAAAGTTGTTCTTCAACTTTGAAAGATCTCGCCGACGCTTCTAAAGATCTGATCTTCGTTAATAGGGAACTTGAACATTTTTCTTAAAATTCTTTAATACATTTGTTTATGTAGAGAAATAACGCATAACAAAACTCAAAACACAATGCTTAAGTTGTAATAAATACCCGGCCATTCCTTTTAAAGGACACCAAACGCGCGAGAATGATCGTGACGTCACACCGCTGCTTTTCTTAAGTTATTTATGTTTATTTTGGCTAGTATGAAGTGTATTTGTTTTTACGCTAGTTTTTATTTGCAAATTCGTGCCACCGTGTTTTGAGTACAACCCGTAAAACGCCAGATAAACTTTTTAGTCGTCTTCCGGATCTATATAAAATGAACATTTTAAGTTATCAATGGCAATATACTTTAATACTTTTTTGTTGCATATTTGCTTAAAACTAGCCGCCAAATTGTCTATAAACACACCTATTAGCTTTAACACCGCGAACCTCAGCAAAATAAAAATGTTCGGTGTTTTGTGTGTCAGATGTCACCATAAGCATATCCACCTTTTAAAAAATCGGTTTCGGTGACTTTCAAAACTTTCTTTTTGGTACTAAACAGAAGATAACGGAAGCAATCGACAGGATCAAGACTAAAATTAAAATTGACGTCACGACCGATCACAGCCAATGACGGCGCGTCTCAAAGAGGATTTAAATTTTACAATTTTTAATTGTTTATATTTGTTACATGGAACTACGAAAATATTTGGTTTGATATTTTTGACTAGTATTACGCCGACTTTTGGGTCAAACGAAACCATTTCGGATCGGATTTATTTCCCGTTTGTGCGATCTCGAAAACCTATTAATTTTGTGTAACTAATAAATATTATGGTTTCCAATTCGTCTGCCAAGCTTCTTGGACCAGCTGGCCGTCTCGGTTAAACGAATCCGCACCAAAATAACAATCCACTTATAAAAATCCCGGCTCCAAGGCGGCAGAAACTTTCAATAATTTTTTCTTCTTCATTTCGTCCAAAAACTCAAACCCAGAAAATCTTCACCTTGACGCTAGAATAAGTGGCAAATTCTTCGCTTGATTTTCTTTCAAAAATCGAACACGATAATTGCTTTAAAGTGTTTTCATTTCGTAATGAATAATATCTGGCTCAAGTGTTTAATGGGGATGCGAAAAGGACTGGACTAGACTGGAACACGGCTCGCTACTACGTAGCGAGGAGGTTAAAATGAATTTGTATATCGTAGAGGGGAAGCTCACGAAGCCTTTAGTTTCGTTAAGGCACATACAAATTTAAAAATGGTCTATTTGCATTTAGAAAAAAACAAAGAAAGGGGTCACACTAAAGCTTGCGAAACCTCTGTTTATATAGGGTCTTTGATGCTTATAGACACCACATCGACAGGGTCCAATATAAATTATATTAAAAAATAGCAAATAGACAATCCGTATATATAATCTCGAATCATGTGTAACCAATGAATACAGCGAAATAGGGAAAGATTTTTTCTCTATTTCCAAATATTCATTGGTCCAAGTGAGGGAAATGAAAAGCCCGTGTACAAGTAGCTTAACCGTGAGACGAGAGTGGATGAGCTTGTGGTTCTAAGATACGTGTTTTAAAATGGCCGGCATGATATGCAGCCTCGAACGCTATCGAACATGTCGCGGGTTATTTTCTCGATTCATCTGTATCCTGCTAAATTTCGTTACCGAGCTGACTAGTATAAATTTAATCGGTTCGTGTTGCAACGTTTCTTTTGTCAACGGTGACATTGACCTTTGATGTTGCCACACTCTCTCACTCTATCACTCAATCGCCGTCTGTGAGCAGTTATCACGTTATATTTAGCGTACCGATGATCTGATGCAATTCGCGAATCGACTGGAATTTTACCAATTTTTTTCCCGTCTTTCATTTCAGATGCCCCCAACGAGAGTTTGTACATGATAGGGGGCGTGTGCGTCGCCATGTTCTTCGTCGGCGTCATCATCGTCCTCCTGGCCGTCACTATCAGGTACGTGTCGTGTTCATTGCACGATTGATTAGAATGAAAGAAACAGGGAGGTCTATGCCAGATAGTAGCGGTTTGGTTGGAGAAAAGAAATGTATTGGTATTTGAAAGTGGAGTGAAAGGGAGGCGATGGTGAATACAACTACCGCACTGCTGCTGCATTCGTATACTTCAACCAGAAATATAGTGCTTTTACAACCGACCCCGTGATTAACTTTGCCTATTGTTTATTACTCCAAAACCGCAGTCCCTTATAGAAGACCCTTACCCGTAACCATTCCAGGATCGTCCTAGGAATTTACCTATCTACACTAACAAGCGGGATATGAGTATGTTCCCAATCTTTTTCGTCGAGCAATTCTTGAACCGTGTACATAAAAAATTAGTACAAAGTAACAATTTTACATAGTTTCATTATTAATATTCAAAATATTAAATATAATAATAATAATAATAATAATAATAATAATAAAATATGAAATATTGAACTGAGGTAGCTTTTACTTGATGAAAATCCATTTAACAAATTAAATAATCTGAAATCTGAACTTTTAGTTTCAGATTTTCACGAAATTATTGACAATTGTTTGGACAACACCGTGCTTTACAAATGTAATATTTACAAACTACCTGCTACTATATATACCGAAAAATGACAATAAAACATTAAATAATGTTGTGAGAATTTAAATTTAATAATGTAGAGGTATTTAAATCTGATTGATCGTTAAGCAATACATTTGAATGTCTCATTTTGTTAATCTCCATGGCTTCCAATAAATGTAATTTTCAACTTTTTTTGGCTGTATGTAAAATATCAGAATTGTCGTGAAAAATGTGTTTTTCTGTGTTTAAGTGTGTAACGTAATTAGAATCTAGTTTTAAACGTTCTTTTATGCTCGTTAATGATCTGCCCGTTTGTCCAATAAAAATTTTAGGACATGATCCACATTTCAACCGTAGACACCTGATTTTTCAAATTTTAGACACTTCGTTTTATTGTTTTTTAAAAAAATTTCTATCGTGTTGGTAGTTCTGAAAGCTAAGTTTAAACCACATTTTGACAAATGTTTTGAAACTTTTTCACTGGATTGTCCTATGTATGTAATTGTTTTAAATTGTTCGTGTTCTGTACTAGGTTTCGGATAAATAGAGTTTACAGATGTCTGGATTTGTTTTTGACGATAATGGACAGATTGTAGCCCTTGCTAAGTGCAATTTGTTTAATGATATTAAGTTTTTCCTTGTAATTTTCTGTTGAGAGTGGTGTATTAAGAAGTCTGTGTATAGTAGAGTGAAATGCAGCCATTTTGTGTGTATCAGGGTGATTTGAGCTGTATGTCCGTGTGTGAAGATTTATGGTAAATGGAAAAACCTAATTTGTTTTGCGTTTTCGTAATAGTTAAGTCTAAAGAATTAATAGAGTTATCCTGTCCAATCTCGATAGCGAATTTTATACGATTATGTAATGGGTTAATGTAATTTAAAAAAGAATTCAATTGTCTGTCCGTTCCAACAAAGCAAGCAAAGATCTATCCGACCATAGAAATCTGTTACTTAAAGGATGTTCTATCCATATTCTCACAACAACATTAATTAAGGTTTTATTGTCATTTTCGGCATGTATAGCATATAATTATAATTTCTTGAGAACCTGAACTTTTAGTTCTTATTTATTAAGTATGAGTCACTTAAAAAATCGTCACTATTGCTACTGTCGTCACCTAGTTCAATCATCAACTTCGCCGCTAATCGTTCTCTATTTTTCTTATTTTATTACTCGTTTTTCATACATCTAGTACGCCCTTGTTACTGTTGTTTACAAATCGAACAACTATGTAGAAGACACAAAAATACAAGAAGAATAATGTTGTTAATCGATAGGCAAATAAGACAATCCAATGAAAACAGGCTCTCTAATTTTTGGCAGATTTGCATTTTTGTTTGAAGATAAGCCAATTCCTGCACATTCCACAATTTTACAAATAATTAATATGTTTGATGGTTGTTTATTTAGTTGTAGAAAATGCTTTCAATCTTCTGACGAGCAATCTATCCCAGAGTGTCCCTTAAATGACCAAAGGGAACGTCGAGAGTTGTAAGTTTATACTTTAGCAAATGTAAACTTTCCTTGCAAATTGTATTCAAATTTTGAGATATAACCAAGAAGAGTGCAGAATATTATAAATTGTTATAAATTACAGACCACGCAGGAAATTTTACCCGCAGATCATGAGATACTCGTGCTATTCTGTGCATATATGATTGGACGAGCTAACAAAAATGAAGATTTTTTATCGAAAATTTGGCACTGGCGGTTGAGTATTCACAAGAGAACCAATACCTGTCAATTCCTTTAAGGACTCAGTATCCGTAAAAGGTCGACGTAGCATATCATTGGTCCTTTTTTAATTGATTTTGAGGATTTTCTGAATGCAACGTTTCCTAATCTCATGATAAGTGGAAAGGGAACAATCAAAAATGGCCACATAGATCCCCAGATCTAGCACCAAATGATTTTTTTCTTTGGGGTTACGTCACTAGCACTGTTTATACACACGCACACCGTCGGGCAGAAATTTCGTAATAAAATTACAAATGCTGAATTTGTGGATAGATTGAGATGTCGCTCAGCTAAAAATGCTGACCTTTTTGAACTTATAAAATAATTATTTTTTTTAGTCTTGGTTTTATTTTTAGAACATCTTGTGTATTTCTCATGTAGGATGGACAGCTATGGTTTTATTAAACATTTTCTGTTTTTTTTTTCTTTTCAATGAAGAATAAATAGGTATATTTATATACAGTGAAAACTTAATATAGCGAAACTTTATATAACGTAAAACTCTGTATTACGAACAAAATTTGTTGTACTATTTTTTTTTGTAGTACATTTTTAATGTTGACGAAACTGGTATTTTTTACAAAATGAGGTCAGATAAAACTATTAAATTTCGAAGCGAAAAGTGTGTGGGTGGAAAACTTTCTATAGAATGCATAACAGTGTTAGTAGCTGTCAATACGAGTGGGAGAGAAAAAAGAAAGCTAGTTGTGATTGAAAAATTAACTAACCCACGATGTTCTAAAAATGTCAAGCGTTTGCCGGTCGCTTACAAGGCAAAGAAGTCTGCATGGATGACATCGCAAATTTTTAAAGAGGAGATACGGAAATGGGATGCAGAATTAAAGGGGAGAAAAATATTACTTCTCTTAGATAACTGCCCTGCACATACCCAAATTCCAAAGCTTGGAAAAAGGTGACAGCAGAAACAATTCAACACTCTTATCGTAATGCAGGACTTATTACCGAAACAGAATGCGAACAGTACTTGGAACATGATCAGCCACTAAGCGTTTACAAGTGAGGAATTGCAAGATTTTATGGTGATAGATCAGGATCTGCCTACAACAGCAGACAGAGGAAGTCATTTACAGCAAGTAAGAAAGGGTGAGGCAGAGCACCAAGAGAAAGAAGAAGATGAAGAAGTGGATCTGGGACCACCACCCACCATTCAACGAGCAGTTAAGCTGCTAGAGAAATTATTTCTGCATCATGGGGAAGACGCCTCTCTCGACGCAATGGTGAAAATAAAAGCCAAAGTACGAGATGCGTATTGGCATACTAAAAAAAATCAAAAGAAAATGACCGATTATTTGAAACATTAAATGTAGTTCTTAAATATTTATATAAAATGTTCCTAAGTATATAGTATATAGTATAGCGTTTCGACTATATGTATACATAACAGGCCATGATATTGTAAACATTAAAGAAAGGAATGAAACGTGAATTGATGTTGAGTTTTTTCGTTAATTTTTGGAAAACGCTGTTGAGGTCGGATCATGTCCCCGCGTTGATTTTTTGGAAGTAAATCGACATTCGAGCCGTAGGAGTCACAGTCGTGTCACGTGGCGTCGGGCGAATGTATGCAGATTAATGTCAATTAGGCGGGTGACCGGACGTCGTCACGTGAAAACCCTGCGCGCGCCCATGCCTCTATATATTCCGCGCCCGCTGATTGAAAACCATTCGCTCGTAATAACGACAATAATAATTATTATTATTCTCGAAACGGGATCGGCGAAGCAAATTCGGCATAGTTTCATTTAAATTATACGCACCTGTGCGATCTTCGATAGTTTCGCAAGAGCAATTCGATGAAAATAATACAATGATTCAATTTGATACACGAGAGTTAGTTAGATCTTGACGGCTCATAAAGGGGCGGGGCCAACTTTTATCACCACACTACAGAACAATGTTCCAAAACTTCCAAAAAAATATCCAATACCAACCAACCAACATTATATGAAAAAATTAGATAATTAATACCTCATTATTCTGTAAAATCTAAGAGGAAGACCATCCAAATGGTAAACCAATCTCCGAAGAGAAACTTAAGAAATGATGTATCTTATGCCTGAAGATACTCTGCCTTTTTATAGCAACTCCAAATCAGACAAACGTATTGTTGAAAACACTTCGAACACTCATAGCGCGAGCATTGAAGATACCAAGTGAGATCTTGCCGAAACGTCTGCAGGATTCCAGTCGGAGTTCAACGAACGGATGGAAGGAAGGAGTCTCGCAGAAGGCTATATTTTAAATAAATATAATATATAATATGAGATATATAAAATCTTATATTTTAATACCTAATAACCTAGTAAATTTAAATTATAATAAGTTTAAAATTAAATATAAAAAAGAATTACTGCATCTATAGAATTTGTTGTAGAGATTTTTTCGGTCTTTTTTTTTCAGTTTTTCTCTTTCTGGAATTGGTTTCTGTATATGTTTGTAATACTATTATTTGAAATAAAAATTGTTTATTATTATATACTTTGAAACATACTATACGAGTGCGAAATGTGTAGAGAATATTCACGATAAGATTTACAAATGTGGGCAAGAGTCAAATATAGAGAAGAAAATGAGTGAAATGAAATGGTGGGAGTATGGAATATATATAGATAAATATGCAAAAATTGTCTGCACCAAG